CAGTCTGCCTTGTATGGTGGCTAAATCCAGAGCAATCCTTGCATTAGTCTATGTAGCCCAGTACAATCTGCTACCCCTCTTAGACTGTGGGTACATCTCTATGGACACTTAGTTTGTGGAAGGCTGAGGTGTAAAGCAAACTTGTGCTAGCCTGCCAAGCACTAACTGGCCCTCTGGGCCCTGCTGCAATGCACTCAAAGTTCCTTAGTGCACTTTGACCCTGTTTCAAAGCAGGCACATCAAAGCACACTGGGAACTTTTAGTGTGTGGCAGGGTAGTGCGGGTACATTTATACCCTGGCTTGCCACAAACTAAGTGTTGAGATAGACATAGGTTTGCCAACTTGGTAATATTTAATAACTGGACACTCCATCAGAGTACTGAAACCTTCCCTGCCCCACATCTTTCCCTGGGGCTCCATCTCTTCTCCCCCCCTCCCAAGTCCACTCTTCTTCCTCCTTCAACTCCCCCTCCCCCATCGCTTGCTGCTTTTCCCCTCCCACCTCCCTGCCTGGGTCAGGAGGGACTCGCCTGCAGAGCTGGGGAGCCCTAGCTTTGTAGGGGCTGATGCGGGTGATGACCCAGCACCTCCCCATCCTGCAGTAACTGGACTTTAGGTGTTCGGTCAATAGATCTGACCGGACACTGTCAGGTCCCCTTTTTGACTGGACTTTCCAGTTGAAAACCAGGCACCTGGCCACCCTACATAGGCAAGCCCTGAGCCATTCATGAGGCTAGTCCCATTCTAAATCTCTATGCCACAGAAATTCACTTCTGGTTAGAATGTGGCCAGAGGGTTTGGTCCTTACCGGAACAGCACCTGGAGCAGTGATGTACAAAAGTCTATTTAGAAGCACAAAAAGTAGTGACTAAAAAGTCCTCACATTCTGGAGAGTGTCTCAGCAGCCATCCCTGTGTCACCGAAGCTGGAGCCCTCTTCACAAATAAGCAGACAGCTGATGTATGCAGTAACTTCCCAGAATGTTGTGTATCAGGAATTGGTGTGTGCACTAAATGTGGCTTCACGCAGCTTCTCTGGGTCCAGGAAGCTGCTGAGACAGAGAAACAATTAAATGATTAAAAATTCCAATAAATCCCAGAATTCAGTGCCCCTTCCAGCCTCTGACACACTCATCCCTGACATAAACAAAGCAATTAAATACCAAAGAGCTGCATTTCCCAGGTCGCTCCGATTTTTCTGAACTATAACTCCGCTGTCTGGACTCTGTTCTCCTCCTCAGCAGAGAGTGTCGGGGACCATATTGGCCTGAACCATGAATTTCCTGTGGTTTTAAAAATCTAAATTACTTCATTGTTTAAATGCTGTATCATATGCTGAACCCAAATTCAGAGAATATCCTACGCAGTATAAGGCGAATGCTAGTGTAGTCATTGGCAGCCAAACAGCTGCAGAGCCTGCATTTGCTTTGGGAAGCACATCCAGAGGTTCAGATACTTATCCAAACTTTCTGCAGCTATATACTTTCCGTGCCCCAGCTCCCCCCTCCCCACTGCTTGGTTATAGGAAGGGAAGGGAACAGCTTGCTCTTAACACTTCCCTATGCAAAGCCCTGGTCACATTTTCCAGGGGGCTGACAGGCCTGCTTCCATTTCTTTGTGCAGCTGGCCTGCAGATAGACCATTCTCTCCCAGATTCCCAGAGCAGCCCCGTTCTGGGGTGGGCCCCCTGCCTGCTGGGTCACCTGGGAGCTTGCTGCTATTCCTTTAAGCATGTGTCACTGAGGCTGTCTGGGAGCTGCCCTTCCGGGGAGTGATCAAAGTTTCTCAGTAGCCCATGGGTCCCAGGGCAGGTTCACAACCAGACCTAGAAAAGAGGCCACCTAGACTGAGCTTCCTGGTTTGACCCTTCCCTCCTCAGGCTCCCTTTTAATAGTGGCTCGTCTTGCATGAGGCCATTTGAAAGGGACATTTTTCTCCCATGCTGCTGTGGTCTCCGGGGCAGTGGTCGGGCTATACTTCAAGCAGATGGCTCAGTTTATTACAGAAATGTGCCTTTTTGGTTCCTTTGCTAGGACAACTCTAAACACCTTGGAATTCCTCAACTGAATCCCCGGCCCCCCGGTAGCTGGCCCGTTCCATTTGGGGGAGACAGGCAGCTGCAGCCATCCGTGTCTGTCCTGCATCGGGCTGCAGCTTGCTGCACTTCCTTCCTTTCCAGCTGGATAATATTCTGAGCTCCTGTTTCCCCTTCCATTCCTGAGGAGATGGCGCAGTCGTGCAGGCAGTGAGTGAAAACTCAGGGCTGAGACTACTAAAGCCCATGGGCTCTGCTCTTCCCTTAAAAGCAAAAGGGGAGCGGAGGGCCATGCACTTAAATGCTTGGGTCAGCTGCTCAGGGAGAGAACCGGCTTCCCCAAAGGGAGCACTGTGCATGACTGCTCCACTCCTGATCACCTGGGGAAGAAAGATCCTCTTTGACGCTGCTGCTGTTTCTCCTTCTTCCCAGCCAAATCCTGATGTCTGGAGGATGTTTAATATGTAGCTTGTACTGTCGCGTGCTGAGATGAGAGGCTGAGAATTAAAGGCGGAGGCAGCTTCCAGTTATAAAGCAGGTTTTTGATCCCTCAGTCAAATTTTACCCAAAATAAACCTACCCACCTGTAAAACTTCAGCTGGGTTCTGCCACCAGCCTAGTTCTCCTAGGAATCCTGTGAGGCAAATTGGAAAAGAGGGTTGGGTGACATGAGGGGTCCAAAACTGAGCTGATTAATTTCTTGAGAAGTTTCCTACTCAGAACTCTGAGGGGAAACTCAAACTTGTTCTGGTTGGCTGGGCTTGTGCGGCCATTCACTCTGGTTCTGTCGGTCTGCGGGGTGGTAACTTTTGAACGCTTCAGCCAATCAATTCCAAAATTGCAGGGAATGTTCCAGCCAGCCGTGGCCAGAATCCTATTGATTGCAGGGAAAATCAGAAAACTGAAAGGGGGGAAATGGGGAGTATATGGAGCCCCTGTCCTTTGTTTAGCTTCAAGCACCTCTGCAATTGTCTATGGATCAAACAACTGGATGAAGGCCTTCAAGCGTAAGGAGAGCCCTTCTTGTCCTCCCAAGAGAAACTAACTTATGGACACCCAGACAAATAACAACCACAGGGTACAGGATGGGGGGATTCTGGTTTGGGGGTGGGAGAATGGGGAGTGCACAACTCCTGGCAGTGGGAGAATGCACAAGTCCCTACAATAGAGGGAGATGTGAGGGTGGCATCTGGGAAGATTGTGGGGGGGCTGCCAGGAGCACCTCATGTGTGCAGTGCACTCTCCTTATACAAGCTGTAAGTGTATGACACGCTAATCTATTGGTCTGGATGAGGACTGGTGCAGGTGGCGTTAAGTGTTAGAACTTTCATAGATTAGAATAGGTGCCTTCAGGGGAAGCTTTGCACCTTAAAGCAGCTAAAGTTTCTTCCTTTAGGCATGTGTGGGGTTCGTAAGTGCACAGCTCCTCTTACAGAGCTTGGGGAACCCTGCGGCAGCCAGATGGGAGCTTCTCCACCCGTGCACGAGTGTTTAGGAGCCTCTCCCACTCTGTGAGCCATGAAGAGTTCCTCCTTTGGGTGCCACACGGGAAGCTCCCATCTGGATGGTATGGAGAGCCAATGACCCCAACCCTCACTCCTCTAGCAAACTCCCAAGTTCTAGCCTATCTCAGTCAGGCTGTAATTCTTTGCACTGTAGCACTTAGGGAACTGCTTCCATTTTACATATGGAAGACTGGAGCTCAGAGGGGGTCACAGCAAGTCAGGGTTAGAACCCACATCTCAGAGTCCCTGTGTGTGTTCCTGGATCGCTTGTCTAGGAGCTGGCTGGTGCCTAGCTTCACTCTGAACTAGTATTCCAGCTGGTGAGGTCAGGTAATGGCAGTACCACCTCGTTGATCAGTGCTGTAGCTGATGGTGATGTCACTAAGCATCCAGGCTGTAGCATGTGCCTGCTGGAGGATCTATTCTAGAAGCGTCCTGATCTGTCTCTAGGGTACTGACACGGTCCCCATCACCGTAGTATCTGAGTATCTCAGTCTTTCCTGTCTCTCTCCTCATGCACCCTGTGAGGCAGGGCAGTTAGCCTCAGCTCCCCAGCGGTACAGTGGGGATAAGTGACGTGCCCAAGGTCACACAGGGAGTCTGTGGCAGAGCAGGGAACTGAACCATTGGGCCATCCCTCATCTCTGGCAAACGTGTGCAGGCAGAATGACCAAGGGAAGGAGGAGTTGGAAGTGTCCATAAAACACCTTCTGTGTCTGGTAACCCTCTGGCTTCACTATCCAGAGACCATTGCTGACATAGCCCTGAGACCCACCCCGCTCCCCCTGAGGCCATGAGTGGGGAGAGCAGAGCACTAGGACTGTATTTGCAGAGGCAGCAGCAGTCTGATTCCATCTAAGACAAGCAAGTCCTTTCCTGTCCTCACAGCATGCCTAGAGACCAGCTTCCTGTCACCCACAGTCCTGAGGAACCCTCCCCCTGTGGAAATAGTGTATAAATGTGTTTACCATTTCCCATCCTGCTGCCAGACAGCTGAGAGCTTGTCGACAAATGGGGGTGTGACACTACATCCTCCTAGGACAGTTCAGGCAAGTGCCCCCCCTCCGACCTGCAGAGGAGAGGGGCAAAAGCTTGCACGCATCCATATGAGGGGCTAGCTGGGCAGGTTCACTCACCTGTCCTCACTGGAAGGTGGGAGCAACTAACTCTTCTAAGTCTAAGCTAGATCCCTAGCAGCCGACTTCTGGTCCTCGCAGGAGACCATGCTCTGAGGCCTGTTTAGTGTGTGTCCCCCCTTCCTCCCCCCCACTGGCAGGCACTGCCCTCACAGTGAGTGCAGACCACTGCTCCCTGCTGGTGGGGGAGTCGGCACATTGCCCTGGGCTGCACAGATCTGCAGGTGCTGCCTTACCTTTCTGGGCAGGTGCATGCAGTGTTTTGTGCACCCCTCCTGAGGCAGCTCAGGTGCTAACACTCTCCTCTCCCACCTCTGTTCTTAGTGAAGTTCATGCGGGAAGTGACTCCCTACATTAAGAAGCCGTCGCTGGTGTCAGACCTCCCGTGGGACGGGGCAGCTCCCCAGTCACCGAGCCTGAGTGGCAGTGAGGACTCCGGCTCCCCGAAGCACTACAATGGCACCAAAGACAGGAAGGTGATCCCTCTGAAAATGTGCTTCGCCGCCAGGAACTTGAGCATGCCGGACCTGGAGAACAGGTGAGCTGGAGCCTAGGGAGACAGAGGCCTTGGCGTGTAGCAGGCTGCTCTGGGCCTATCTACCTGGCATTTTGGGTGCAGGGAGGAGTGTTGACACAGGCTGGCGGGACATGCAAGGTGAGAAATGATCCCTTTTTGGCTGCTTTGCAATGTGTAAAGGAGGCTGGAAGACTTTTAAAAAGCTGCTTTTTCTGCTTGGCTTCTATCTGAATGTCAGGAATGTGGAGCCTCATGTGTCTGTTTTCCTGGAGGGCTCTTGGGAGGCCAGAGAACTGCAGGAGTGTCCCAGGCCCTAGTTATGGGGGTAGGAGTGTCTGAGTCTTTGAGAGACTTTTCTCCCAGGTGCCCATAGGAGCTGGAGTTAAATGGGTGCTTACAAAGACAAACAGGGTTTGATTCCCCCCCCCCCCCCACTTGCAAGCCCTTGTGATGTCAAAGTCCTGCTAGATCTATTTGTTTTGAATCCTCCAGCAAACAAAGGCAGATATGAGACACCTGCATTCCTGATGCAAAACCAACCAGGAAAAACACACCAGACTTTGGCTGTATGTCAGGAAAGGGCACAGATGTTTCTCTTCCCTTGTAGGCCCCCTTAGGTGCGAGAGATCCAATGGCATGGGTTTGTTCCTTCAGGCAGGTGGGGGGAGCTGTTCTGCTTATCACTGTGATGAACAGGTGGGAGTCGGGTCTGCGCTGGGTCCCCCAGCAGTGCGAATGCCTTTGCAGCTGACTTTGTGGCAGCAGCAATGGGGCTTTCTACAAGAGAGGCTGATGCTGCCTTGAGTGAGCTGTGAAGCTGGTGGCCTGACTGTTTGTACTTCCCGACATTCAAGGTGGTAACCCTGCCGCTGGTTCGTTCTCGGCCAGGTAACTTCACCTCAAGGGGTGCTGATCCTGCCTGGGTAGAGGATAGAGGTAGGAGTCAGGAGACCTGCATTCTAACGCTGCCTGCAGCTCAGACTCCTCTGACCTGGCACAGTCACGTCACTTTCCTGGGCCAATTCTTACCCTCCTACACTTGCAGGGTGATGTGAGGGTTAACCGGCCCAGTTTTGGAGAGCTGAGCTCTTCAGCTGGAAGGTGCTATAAAGGGGTCATTATTTCACATAAGTCCCCCCCGGCAGTTGCAGGAGGATCTGGCAGTGTTGACTTCCTGCCCTAAAGCGTTCAGTGAGGAGCCTGCATTCCACCCCAGAAGTAGCTGTTTCATAGGTGGGTGTGGTTATTCCTTATCTGCCACAAAGTGGGAGTTAGGAGCCTTAACTAGTGCACATGACCCAAGTTGATTGAGTCAAAGGTGATATACAAGTGCAAGGCTCCTCCTTTGGCTGTATTAACTTGCACCCAGGGTCCCGAACACAGTTAGGGCTCCATTGTGCCAGGTGCTGTACACCCACAGGGAGGCCTGTGGAGCTGAATGACCCAGCGCCTGACACACATGGGGCGGGAAGGTGAGGGGAGCATCGAGGTCCATGGCCACAGGGGCCATCTGTGCAGATAGATGCTGCAGATCCCACTGCTGCTCGTTCGCAGTCACAGCAGAGATGCGTCTGGAGAAGCGGGGTTGTGATCCATCTAGTTCAGCTGTGTCTCTGCTTGCAGCCAGGTTACGTGTAACGCCTGCGTGTTTAGCGTCTGGTTGAAGACAAAGTGTCCTCTCCTGGTGCCTTTTGGGAGGTGCTGGCTGGCTGGGTGTCCACAGGATGTTTGGCTAATCTGCGTGTTGAACTCTTTCCATGGAGAAGATACCTGGCCTTGCGCCACACGCACACTCCAGCGGAAATGGCAGTTCCTCTGCTGGTCCGTGTCCCCGGGATCGGCTCTGGAGACGATGCTCGAGCTTCAGCTAAGCAGCAGAAGATGGACTAAAGGAGACTTAGGGTGGGAACAGCTGCGCCTCAGGCCAATCTCCTGATTCACTCATCAAATCGTAACTGCAGCTTGCAGGAAATTCTCAGTGGTTTGGCTACCAACCAGGTCTCTCCACTCAGCGCCTCTCCTCCCCCCAGCTGGCTGGCTGCCGCGTGGGACAGGCAGTGTTTGCATTTTGCTGTCCTCCTGGGGTAGAAGGCTCCAGCTCAGGGAAGGATGCAAACCCCCACATCTAAATTGCCTTTCTGGCAGTTTAACTTTCTTCTAAAACAGAGTTCAGATGGATTTGGGCTGAATCTCACCCAGACCTTCCCCTGCTCTGGTAGCGCCCGTCTGCCCTGTCACACACCTGCCAGGTGGGGGCGGTATTGCATGTAGTCCTGCCAGTGAGTGGTGGTTGGGGGCAGTTAGAGGCTATTAGTGATCCTGTTGGGTGCGTGTGTGTCGGGGGGGGGGGGGGGGGGGGGTTGGTGGTTTTTGGTTTTTGGGTGTGGGGCCCGGGGGGGGGGGGGGGGGGGGAATCTTGGTTGTGCTTATTTTCATTCTCTGCCCTTGCCACCTCTTCTTTGTACCTGCCAAGTGGCTGTATCCTATGTCCAGCAGGGGGCAGAGTTGGAATGTCACACCTAGTCCATGGTCCCAGAGCAGCTGCACTTTCCTGTTGAAAAGAGAGTTGACAACTGTGTATCTGTCCAGTACTTATCAGGGTTCAGAGTTAACCTGTTGAACTGGCCCTTGGACCTGTAGTTCACCCCTGCAGATTCTGTTGGGTGCATCTGGAAAGATTTCCTCAACCACCTGGGCTTCGTTAAAAGGAAAGGTTAAATTCTGTAAAAACAGATGAGGCCTCTGGAGCCAGATTGGCGTGGCCTGTGTGAGCAGGCTCTGGCATGGAGGCGGGGCAAATGAGCAGCATTGGTTGGCAGTACTGGGTAAGCAGTGATGTCCCAAACTGTGCTCTGCTGCAGGAAACTTGCTGCTTGGAACTTGCTTCTCCTCTCAGTGTGTTGCTGAGCATTTGAACTGATTCCCCGTTTGCCCAGGAGGTGGCTGGGCCCTGCCATGCAGAGTGGAGTTGCATTGCTGAGCTCTGAGAGTCGGGTTTGTCATTAGAGGGAGGAAATGACACTAATCACTTCCCCTTGTTTTCCCTGTATCTGTCATTACCTATGCAAAGCCCTCCCCTGGGTGCTAGGAACCAGGGAAATACTGTCAGGCTCTCACTGATGGGGAAGTTGCTATAGCTAGAAAGTACTTAATCTTCAGGGGGTTGTGCTGCCCCGGTTGTGTAGGGCCGATTACCTGATCTCCTGGGCCAAGCAGGTCTGACACTTACTGCAGGACCAGTTTCCAAGGTGGTGTCCCTTCACCGTCCCATGCTGCCCACACATCCCTGCTGGGAGGCTGCCTCCCACTCAACTCTTGGGAACAGTCATGGCCAAGCTACAGGGTTTTTGCAGCATGCAGGCTGCCTTTTGCAGGACTCTCCCTCAATGCTCCCATGAGAAGATCTTGGCCAGGAATAGTTTGACTTGGTACCTTTGCCCCACCAGCATCTCTGTCCTGGCACAGAGTTGGTCCACGATGGAAACGACTAAGGTTTCCGGCCTGCGCGTCCCTTTCTGAACAGGGCAGAATCTCCCTTGCAGACTCCTCTTAACTAGGTGGTGGGGAATGTAATGCCATCTCTGCCGAGTCATCTGCCCCTTTGCTTTAAGCTGCACAACTTGGCACACTTGTGCGTTGGTGGGTGGACATGTGAAAGAGCCGTAATGGCTTCAGTACTAACGTGACGGGGGGGGCGGGGCAGGAAAACAGCGTCTCTTTAGAATGCCCATGGAATTAAATTGCCAGAAATGTACATGGACGAGTAAGAGCTAACTGCTCGTATGTCCTGAACTCAGAACAGTATTTGTTCTCAACTGGGAGAGACCGCTTCCACAGCGCAATTCGCACTCCCGAGGCTAACGTGCTGGTGTAAGGTGAGCCACCCTTTCCAGCACTGCTGGAGTTCGTGCCAGCATAGGTGCTTGTGCAGGCTCTGCACAGGCATTTTCAGCACCATGTCCTAATGCTGGGAGGTTTTCATGGGGCTGAGCTATCCAAAGCCCCTTGGCACTGGCACCAGTGCCGAGAATGGGAGTGGGATACTGGAGCTGGGAGAGAATGCAGTGTCAGTGTAAATAACAGTGGCCAAGAGCGTAATGATGGCTTTGTCTGTCCTTGGAGAGCCAGCAAGCAACCCAGTCTGCATAGCTGTGGAAAGCCAAGTGAGCTCTGACATGCACACTGCTGACCTGGAGGGCTCGAAATGCCTCCCCTGTAGCTTGTGTGAGATGAGGAGTGTAGTCCAAGGGTACGTCTACACTTCAATCAAGAACCCGTGGCACAGAGTCCCAGACCCTGGGGCAATTGACTCTGGCTCGTGGGACTCAGGCTGTGGCACTAAGAACTGCAGTGTACACACTGAGACCCCATGTGGGGGGAGGGTCTCAGAGCCTGGCCTCCAGCCTGAGCCCAACCATCTAGACTGCAATTTTTAGCCCCACAAGCCATAGTCAGCTGACCTGGGCCATCCATGGCTGGGCCACAGGTCTTTTATTGCAGTGTGGTGGACCCCAAGTGTCTGGATCTGCTGTGCTGCTTCTGTGTCCTTGCAAGACTGAATTTCCAGCACTGGAGCATTCCCCAAAGCTGCGGCCTGGTACCAAGAAAGCGTTAAAAGTAGCAGCAGTTCATAAAGGGCTTGGGCCAGGATTGTCCCTGGGCTAGCACCATAGCGATGTGTGCTGAGATCATGGGCTTCCTGATACCATTCACAATTCACTACATAGTGCTGCTGGTTACTAAGCCAGTCTGTACCCCTGGGTTCCCAGGCAAGCAGCACCCTGGCAAGTAGAACTTTCCAGCCAGACTCAAGCGCAAAGTCTCCCCGTCTCCCAGGACTTGACAAGGAGGTGAGCCTCTGAGGAGCTGTGAGACCAGAGGTCTGAGCTGTGCTCTGGACCTAGACAAAGGCAGCACCAATTCCCTGTGTAGGGTCCTGCAGCACAGGCAAGTGGGAAGGGCAGAGAGTTGTCCTGGGGTTCCCATCAGGATCAGAGTGAACTGCATTTAGCCTGTGTTTGGAGAATGCAAATCCAATTACACAATCCCCGCTCATCCAGGTGGAAATAAGCTGCCGCTGCAAAAGGCTTTTGTCACGCTGTATCTGCTGCCTCTCGAGTTCTGCAGCAGGATTCTGCACTGACTTTGCACACTGGTGGCTTCCCGCGAGGAGCGGTGCACACGCTCCTGTCTCAAAGCTAGCCAGCCCCAATGTACTTTTAAGCACATGGACTCGTTTCTACGTGTTCTGTGGCTTCACGCCTGCTTCTCTGTTGTGCTAAGAGGATGGTAGGCAGCTTGCCTTTGGGTGGCATTTGTACAACTTCCATTCCACTTAATAGCCCATCTCAGACATTTCACGGTTACAATCTCATCCCTGTAGCTGCTTGTCAACAGGTGATTGCCCCCTAAGTCCAGCTGGGCTCCTGATTTGCCAGCAGTCTAATTAATAGCCGCTCTGTACTATGCACGCATCCCCAGATCCAAGAAGGTAACTGTGGAGAAAGGTACATCAGCTTTAACTGATGGTGGGAATTGTTGGCTTTCAGAGCGCTCCCATCATGTCCTGACTTAGGCATCATAAGGAACAGATGTGTCTGCAGCAGTTTGGCAGGGCTAGTCTGTTCTGGGTTCTGTAGCTACTGATTGAAGGGCAGAGGAGGTGAGAAGCGTGTGTGCTGCATCTGCATTCCAGGGAGGGAAGAGATGCCAGCTCGCCCTTTAGTATCTGTCTCTCTAATAGCCTGTGCCTGAGCAATTGGGTGAGAAGCCAGGCAGGGATCTGGGCTGGGCACCCCCGCTGCTCTGAGGGATGCTGAGCTGCCGCAGGAAGGTTCCTGCAGGAACCTGGGAGCCCTTGCTGCCTCCCAAACCCTCTGAGTGCCGGCAAGCGCTGGGCCAGTGCTCGCTTACTTCCTGAGCTCTCAGATGTTGCATCAGCTCCTGGCAGGGCTGCCTGACAGCTAAGATTAGAAAGCTCTGTAATCTTTTAATCAGTGGCACAGCTTCTCAGCCAGCTGAGGGAGAGGATGATTCACGAGGCATCCCCCTGCCCTAGCAGAGCGGGGATCGTCACCGCCTCCGGGGCTGCGGGTCTCATAAGCACCTGGACAGATGAGTTTCCAGACAGTGTTCTGCCACGCAGCACTGGAATTCCATCCTGCCACAGAGCCAACTTTGCCCTACCCTCCGTCCCTGTGGTGAAGTCTATGTGAGCGCTGCCTGGGCTGCTCGTAGATGACCCCAGCCAGGGGCTCTCCCTAGCAAACACCAAAGGGCTAAGGGTTCATTTGAGCGTTTCATGTGTACTTTTCTTGGGGAGCCAAACCCCACTGATGTAGGGTGTGTCTGCTGCAGGGCTTCCGCGTTCCCCCTCTGCCTTAGCCCGGCTGCACTTCTCAGCCTAGCTCTCTCTCTTCCTATTCAGGTTGATAGAGCTGCACTCACCAGACAGCAGAAACACCCTGATCCTGCGGTGCAAAGACACAGCGACAGCACACTCCTGGTTCACGGCCATCCACACCAACATCATGGCCCTCCTCCCTCAGGTGCTGGCTGAACTCAATGCCATGCTAGGTGCCAACAATGCCACTGGAAGTAGCAAGGAGGTCAAACACATCGCTTGGCTGGCGGAACAGGTATGCAGAGATGGAGGGCTCCTGCTGTCTTGACCTTATTTGGGTAGAACTCATTTTTACAGGTGTGGTAGCAGTGCAGTCTAGCACTCTGCTTAAGGTGTAGCTGTGAAGAGATTAGCTTTCATTGGCAGGCATGGGAGAAGGTCAGCACTGCAGAGATTACAGCACTTTGGTAGTGGCTCGTGTGTTTTCAGTTCTCCTTTCTCCACTTACTACTGTGAGCCTAGAAGCCAGCTCAATAATGGAATCCAATGGCAGCCGGAGCTGTGGGAGAGACCTGTCCAGGGAGGGATTTGTGCCAATCCAGTTTTGAAAATGTAACTTCTACCTAAAAACATCCTGACCCAATTAATGTTTCAGAGACGGCTTTCATCTCTGCCCGGCAGGCCACAGCTCCGGTAACCCTCCTCTCCTCTGGAGGTGTGGCCCCTACCGACCCTGCAGGGGCATGTGCTGTAGTAGTGTTTGCCTGTTGTAGACAGGGCTGTAACCTCCTCACAGGCTTCCCATGCCTGTTGTGGACGGGTTGTGTGCAGGGTTTGTTCTGATTCTCAGCAGTGTCAGTGCAAGCCTGATCTCATTCCTAGCAGCACTAGGATGGTGCTTCAGTCAGCAGCTTTGCATGCACACAGGGCTCCAGAATTTCCCATCTGAGTGTCTGTCCTCTCTTTCTCTCAATAATTCATTTCCCCTTTAGTCAAAACCTCACCTGATGCTCTTCCTCTTTATTTAAAGGCACTATGCGTATGCAGTTGTCTTACTGCCCTCCACGTGCAATAAAACGCCTCATTTCTAGGTGGGAGTTCATGCTCCAAGTGCCAATTTCACACTTGATCCTAGGCTGGCAGAGCTTTCTAGCTCCTGATGCTTGGGTATCTGTGCACCATTGTGCATGCATCCCTTGGATAACTAGACTGGCAGGAAAGGGGTGGCAATGCCATAATCTTAATGGGGATGAAAGATGGTTAAAGCAGAGACCTGGGGTCTGTGCACAGCCCTGTCACCGAGTCACGTGGCTGTGGCAAATCGACCACTCTGTCCATCTAGTAATGGAGTTGAGAACCCTCTTTGGAGCTAGGAAAAGTAACTTGCTTATACTGAAGTGCTTTGAGATCCTTGGGTACCAGGCGCTATGCAAAGCAAAGTGTTGTTGTGGGTAGGAAGACCTGGTAAAGCAGAGGCCATTCCTCACAGGTCATTGGGAGGGACAGTTCGGGTTCAATCTTGTGAAGTCCATGGACTTTTCTTGAGGTCCCATAACCTGGTGCTCAGCCAGGCACACAACTATTTTGCTGTGCAGCTGGGCCCTGAAACTAATGCCAGCAAAGCTACGTGTTGAACCATTGTGAACATGAAACCCCCTCACGTTTCACGGAGCCTGCACTTCCTTCCCAGGGCTGTGTTCAGTTTCCAGTTAAAGATGTTAAACCTTTGGCAGCTCCAAGCTTCCTAGATCCTCTTCAGAGTGGCCTGGAGCGTTTGTTTCTGCAGATAAGAGGAGACAAAGGAGAGTCTGTGGGGGCGGAATGTCCTGTGTATTTAAGCCAGTCACTTGATGTCAGCTGTTGGACACATGGGCTAGTGGCTAAAGCACATGGCCAAGAGTTAGGTCTGGAATCTGCCACAGACCATGGCTTTGGGCAAGTCAGTGACTTTCTGCCTCCACTTCCCAGTCTGACATAGGGGTCATGTTGACCTAACTCCCAGGGTTTGCAAAGGTTAATTTCTGTTGTAAATATTCTCAAGCAATGCACTCCTCCTGTGTGCAGTATGAAAACCGCAACCTTGCAGAGTTAAAGGGCTGTACGTTGTGCAGCAGTGCAGAAAACCCAGCAATGGGAACAGCCTCCCACAAGGTATTCAGGCAGGTGAGCATTTTAACAGCTAAAGGAAGGTAGGCCTCTCTCCACACGGGCAGACCACTATTCCAATGGGATGATCCCCCACGGGCCAGTGGGACTGTGTCCTGCGAAGTGTTGCTGTGACAACAAGGAATTAGTTGGAACATCAGGTCGGGGTCGATTGTGCTCACTGTCCCACTGCTGCAGGAGGCACTGTGGCTGCCCGTGGTCCCCACACCTGGAACGCTGGGATGGCTTTACCAGAGGAGTCTGCGACTCCAGAAGCATTTGTGAAGCACTTCGCATTCCACCTCAGGAGCCCAGAGAGGGCTGGCCAGGTTCACAGCAAGCTGGGCTTATACCCTCTGGGCTGTGCTCCTGTCCTGTTCCCTGCCCTCATGTGATGGGTGATAGTCTGAGTGGGTGGAAGCCAGTGCTCACCCTGCGCGGCTTTCCACTGGGGTGGTGAATCCTGTCGAAAGGCCTGAGCTCTCCCAGCTGCTGTGTGATCAGGACTGACTGACCGCATCTAGTGGTGGCCCCGGGGAGGGATCTGCGCGGCAGGTTCTGAGTGTCAGTCTGATGCCCACGCAGCATGAGCCCTCGACCATGGGATTTGCCCAGTCACCGAGGAGTTAGAACTATAGTCCCAGACTTTCCCTTCCGTTAATTTGCTGATCCCAAAGCTACAGTTTATCCTTGACCTTGTAAGTGTTTTCTTGGCCTGTTAAGAGCTGAGCTGTGGCCTCCCTGGCATGGGATCTCCCGGATGGCTGGGCCCATTAGTGCCTTGCTGGCATTCCTCAGATGATGAGTTAACACATTCCCACACCATAGTAATAAAGAGCCCACTTGACCCAGAGTCAGATTAGACTCTTCGGTGCCTGCTTCTTAGGGCGCCACTCCACAGCCAAGTTATTCATACGGCACAACAACATGCTGCTTGCTTCAGACAGGGCCTGGCTCCAGGCGTGAAGGGAAATCCACTCTCATTAATTTTCCAGGTTATTTTTTGCCCTAGTGCTGTTGATCTCTCTGAGTAGATCGCCTCACCCAGGGAGGGGAGGCGAGCACAAGCGTCATGGATTGATTCCACATGGGGTCAGACAAGAGCCCTACAGCACATTGCCTGATCCCAGTGTGCCCCATGGAGAGGGGGAGGCACTGGGCTCTGCTGCTGGGAGGGAGGGAGAGGCAGGAACTGAGGGTAGAAAAACTCCGAACTCGGCTCACTACTCCCTTCCTTAGTCTACATCGCCCCGTCTGCTCTGTTACTCAGGCTCCTCTCCCCTCTGCCACTGGCACATTGTGACTTCCTTAACAGATGCACTACTCAGGAATGTCCTTTGGCCCCAGACTGCAGATCTTAGATGCTCCCAAATGAGGATCCTTTGCCCCCGGCGGGCAGCACACACTGCTTCCTGGACTGCATGTTAACAGCTCTCTCGCCTTCTTGCAGGCTAGACTAGATGGAGGAAGGCAGCAGTGGCGGCCCATCCTCATGGCTATGACAGAGAAGGACTTGCTGCTCTATGATTGTATGCCCTGGACAAGAGACGCATGGGCATCACCTTGCCATAGCTACCCTCTTGTTGCTACCAGGTAAGATCCAAGTTGCCTGGAAGGACATTTCTTTGATGACCTAAACCCTACCCCGTACAGTGAAAGCCTTTCCCGCTTAGCGCTTTTCAACCACCAGTCTCCAAGCACTTTGGAAAGCTGCAGCTTTTCAGGGGAAATTGAGGCACAGAGTTGGGACGTGACTTCCCCAGTGTCATGCAGTGAGTCTGACTGCTAGGATCAAACCTCTGGCCTCTGCCCAGTCTTCAGTCCGCTAAACCACAGCTTCCTCAGCCCACAGCTCCAGCCAGGGCATTGCTGGAATAACATAGCTTGAGTCCTTCCTTGTTTTGCTGCTGATAGGCCTCTCAACAGCTCCTCACCTGCTAGGGTTGCCAACTGTCTAACCACACAAACCCAAACACCCTTGCCCCGCTCCATGGCCCCACCCCTTCTCTGATGCCCCACCCCGCTCACTCCAGCCCTCCTCCCTCCGTTGCTTGCTCTCCCCTGCCCTCACTCAGTTTCATTGGGCTGGGGCAGAGGGTGGTGGTGCGGGCTCTGGGCTGGGGCAGAGGTGTTCAGAGTGTGGGAGGGGGCTCCGGGCTGAGCCTGGGGCAGGGGATTGGGGTGCAGGAGGGGATGTGGCGTGCAAGCCCTGGGAGGGAGTTTGGGTGCAGGAGGGGGCTAAGGGCTGGGGGAGGCAGTTTGAGTGCGGGAGGGGGTTGGGGTGCGGGAGAGGGTGAGGGGTGCGGGCACCGGCTGGGCGGTGCTTACTTCAGGCAGCTCCTGGGCAGCGGCTCAGCAGGTCTAAGGCAGGCTCCCTGCCCGCCCTGACCCCGTGCCGCTCCCATAAGCAGCTGGCATATCCCTGCAGCCCCTGGGAGGGTCAGGGGGCTCCGCACACTGCCCCTGCCTGCAGGCACTGACCCCGCAGCTCCCATTGTCCGCAGTTCCCGGCCAATGGGAGCTGCCGAGTTGGTGCTCGGGGCTTGGGCAGCGGACGGACACACACGCACCCTGCGGCCTCAGGAACGTGCTGGCCGCTTCTGGGAGTGGTGCGGGCCAGGGCAGGCAGAGAGCCTGCCTTAGCCCCGCTGTGCTGCCAGACTTTTAGTGGCTTAAAATCTCCCGGTTTGGCTTCAGTAGCCTCTAGGAGATAGAGCCTGATTCCAGGAGACTCCCAGTGAAACCGGGTGGGTTGGCAACCCTAGCTGGGGCATGTGAGAGCCCTGCTTCTTTCTGTGCTGAGCCTGAGATGAGAGCGCCAGTGCACACTCATCACTGCTGGTGGGCCAGGACCCTAGGATGTGAGCATTTGAATACTAGCCCAGTCACTTCCCTAGCTGTTATCAGTCAGTCGGCCACCTTGCTCCAAGCCTTGAGCTGCTTTTCCTTTCGACTGCAACCTGGAACTTCCTTCCATTGCAGTGACAGGATTTCCTTAGTGTAGGACGACTTCCACCTGGTCAAATCCCACTGCTCTGGGAGGGGTCCCACCTGCAGAGTAACTGTCGGGTTTGGATTTGCATTCCAAGGGTGATGGGTGGAAACTGGCACTTGCCCTGCACAGTTTGCAAATCATTCTTGTGATTGGCCAGCGAGAGCTGGGGGAGTACCAATCAGAGTAGCCGAGGCAGCACTCCCACAAACATTGCTCAGTGGCAGGACTGCCAATAGCCATTACCTCTCTGGCAAATCAGCAGAGACTGGGCTGCTCTTCGTAGTAGCCAGTGGGAGAGTCAGGGGAGGGCTAGCTGTGCTCAGGCCATCCCTCTCAGCCACCATCGCTAGTGGCTTTGGGTTTTGGCTCCCATTCGCTCACACAGCAATGCAAGCCTCTGATAAATCACCTGGTAAAAGGCCACTTTCGTCCAGTTGCTCTTGTTGGGCCCATAACTCTGATTCTTTTTCTTAATGTGGCCAGCAGCCCAGAGCAACCCTGTAATAAGCCAGCGTGTGCGGCCCAGCCCTTCCAGGAGCCGTAAGCCAGCAAGGCACTGGGCATTGGTGGGGGAAAGGGATCTCAAACTCTCAGGGATTCTGCAAGACGGTGACGTTATTCGTAAATGACACGGAATGCTCAAGCTGAAGGATGAGACAGACTTAGCAGTAGGCACTCAAACACTAATACAGAGCTGCAAACATTCCAGCTCCTGAGGAGTTTGCTTACAGCGTAAGAGTCTTTCTGTAAACTGATGCACTCCTGCTTTGAGCACTGAGAGAATGAGTCCTTGCCTCTCCCAGCCCTGCCATGGCGTTCATTCCAGTCCCACACAGAACCCAGCCCTGTGGCCCAAGCACAGACCAAGAGGCGAAGGTGGCCACCATGAAGCTCTGGCTACTGGAATACCATGAACAGCTAGTGCTCACCTGGAAATCAGGCTGCCCAGCGTGGGTATCCCTGGGAGGTGCTGGTGAGCTAAGGACTGGTGAAACCAGTCTTGGCTGCCTGGCAGCATCTGCAGAAAGCATGTGCTCCTGCTGGAGTCCATGCCAAGGTTTAGCCTTCTCTGTGGAGACCTCAGTGTCATTACTGCCCTGCTAACTCCTTCCATGATGATCTATGGGGCAGGGTGCATGTGTGTTCTCCTCCCAGGCCCACTCTTGCCACCTGTCCCGCAAGTGAAAGGGAGCAGAGCATGGTGTGCTGACAAGCCTGTATTTCAAACAGCCATTACAGCCTCCAAAACAGGAGTGTTTAGTTGTTGTTGGGGCAGGGAGCGCAGCTGCTGTGATCAGAGCGGGGGCCCACTGACATAGGAGGGGCTGCAGGCTCTCAGCATGGTGAGATGTCTGCATGCATCTTGCATTGGGCTTCTTGAGAGCTGGGAAGGGGCTCTTGGCTACGTACCTTTTCATTTCTAGCCCTGTCTCCCAGTCCTCCTGGCTTTGCTACTTTGCTAGCAGCCTGAGTCCTGCCTTGCTGGGAGCTGGAGGGGCTGTCATGCTGCCAGAGAAAAGGTTCGGCCTGCCTGAGCAGGCTCCGTGGTGCCTTGGTGTCGTGTTCACATCCGTTGCTCAAGCTTCCCTGTGACGCCCATAGGGGTGTGTGCAGGTCCTGCCGCTGGATCAGTTCATGTTCCCTGCCAAGTCTTCAGCAGCCAGAACCATAGGAGGGAAACATTCCTCTAGCCTGAGTGTTTCTATAACATCTGGCTTGGGGCCTCCTGGAACAGGCTGATCCCTTCTTGGCATCTGCAGATGCAGGGCATCTTGCCCATTGTGTGCCATGTGGCTGCTCAGTTTGTCACCTGTCTCCTCCACAGAGCTGGGCTCCAGCTGTCTGGTTCCAGGCAGCCCTTGGCTGCACCAGCTGAGAGGACAGAGGGGAGCTAGCTGCATCTCTCTAGTGCATCTGCCCAGAGAACCCCCAGCCCTGTGCACTAAGGAGTGTGCCTTTGCCAGCCTGCTGCCCATGTAAGGGGAGAGCAGTTTAACTAGCGTGTTAATTGTGTTACCGCCCATCTCCCCTGGGCACTGCTCCTGTGTGTCTAATATGCCTCACTTAGCCTGGGAGCAATGTCTCCCTAGTCTGCTCTGACCTTCTCCATCACTGCCTGGCTGCTGCTCTACTGGACAGATTTCTGAGGCGCCCCTGGGTCCATCGGCTGTGTGTGATGGGAGGTGGCGGCGGATCAAGCTGGGAGTGGCTGATCTGGTTGGTGCAGGGTTTTCCCCATGTGGCGCATGACTGGATGTTGGATGTGTGCACTGGGGAAAGGCGAGTGTTATGTGGCCCATGCATGTGGCTTCCCCAGGTCACTGTTCAGGAGCAAGTTGGTTCAAACAGTGGCTTAGGAGCAGCATAAGTCACAGCTCGGCCACTCACCAGCCAATAAATCTGTATGAATGAACAAAAGCAGCATCCTCCCATGGAGACCTCCCTCCCCCTGCCTGATGCCCTCCCTCCCGGCCCCATGATGGAGGTTCATTAATGAACCACAGCTTGCTCCCCCCCACGTTGGGAAGCAGCAGTGTCCCGGAACGATGTCTCCCTGGCCACGATGCAGTCACACTGGTTTCCCTCTTCTCTGAGTAACGTCCCTCTTGCTCTCCCATGTGATCCGCAGGCTGGTTCACTCTGGCTCCGGGCGCAGATCACCTTCTCCGGGATCCGAGCTCACCTTTGCAACGCGGACAGGCTCTCGCCAGGGCATTGAAATGCACGTTTTCAGGGTGGAGACGCATCGGGACCTCTCCTCCTGGACCAGGATGCTAGTTCAGGGCTGCCATGCTGCTGCGGAGCTGATAAAGGAGGTGTCCGTAGGTATGCTGGGGGCAGTAACGGTCTGTCTGCCTGCAACCCCGCTGCTCCCTCCTGAGTTGCTCAACTGCCAAGCAATCAGTTGATCACCTACCCTCTGGGACGGGGTCTCAGCAGCTCTCCCTAGCTGAGCAGAGTCAGGCCTATGGGGGCTGCCTACCTTTCACAAACACGCAAGAGAGAGCTGTGGGACGTGGTTTGGAATTAAGACTCATGAGGGACACAAGAAAAGTAAGTGTAGAAAACTTAACACTAAGGCGCCCAGTCTGTTCAGGCTAAACTGCATAGCCTGGAGTCTCGGCTCAGTGACTGCACTTCTGGAGGTCACGGTGGTCACACAGGAGGTCACGGTGGGGCCATGTGGACTGCACGGAGCTCTGGGTCTTGGATGAGGGATGTCCTCTGCTATAACCGAGGTTTTCTTGCTAGTCTCTAACAAAGCCCAGGTACAGTTGGAGTGAATCCCTTGCCCTTCTCTATCTCTTTACATGGGAAGATCTGAGTGCTTTCATGTGCTCAGAGATGGCCAGTGTCCCACTGGAGCTGAGGCTAGTGTGAGGTGATGGTGATAGTGCAGTGAAACTGGAAGGCTGATTACTGTTCACGCCTAACTGGTTAGTGGAGCAGCCTAATCAAAAGGAAGCCAGTTCTCTCTCAGCCCCTGGTGGTGCACAACATACCTTCATTGCCTCTGCACTGCCAAGTGTGTGCTGGTTTCTTGAGTTCTATGGAATGTGTGGCTCTCTTGACAGGCAGACAAGCCTGAGTGGAAAGTGTTAACCATCTGGACTCTGGCCATTGGTCCATCTCCCTAGGGTAAGGAAAGCGTCGCTAATATCCGGAGGTGCCGTGACCACAGTGTGATTGGCAGAATCTGTGATTCTGAGACATGCTTCTGGCATGCAGCTGGAGCTGAGCGCTGGGAAAGCCGGCTTTGTTCCTGCATTCCGAACATGTGAGGCTGCCTGTAAACTTGAGAACAGAGAGGAGCTGGGCAATACGGCCCTGGGCAGAGGAAATCATTCCAGCCAGGGGGGATGTGAAGTGGCCCCTGTGCACTTAGAAAACCCAGTCTCAGCCTTGCTAGCTGGAGTCTTCCAGCTTGGGGGTGGGAGAGGGCTCAACAGCAGAGAGATAGAAACAGCCAAAACCGAAGTTCATCTAGGCTGAGGAGAGGGGGGGTTGGGTCAGTCTGTTACCTATGGCTTAAAAGCTCCCTCTAGTGTTCAGAAGAGAATAGCACCCATTCTACAAGTCCTTCCCCCTTTTGAAGGCTTGCCACAGTCATCTAACTGGGAAAAGCTAACGTGAGGTGTCAGGCCAGCTTCCCTCCTGCTGCAATAGCGGCTTAATTGCTGCAAGGAGAATATTGGCTTGGAGCCAGCACCTTTCACAAGCACTACTACAGCCCTCTGCATGATGGTCCTGAGAGTTTTGTGTGAAGGCGCCCTTCAGCCAGTTCTTTCCATCTGGAGCTCCCTCCCTAAAGGCCATACCCTTGTGCAGTCTGCCTGCTCCCCCGCATGCCTTATCTTTCAGCATCTGTAATGGCAGCTGTCTTGTTGGCAGTAGGCGCTCTGTGATGTATCAGGCACCCCAGCGCCCTGTATGGTGCCAGTTGAGGTAATAAAATTGCTGCCACAAGTGGAAAGATTCCAAATGCCACTAGGCATCAAAAACAGAGCATCTGAAAAATAGGCTGTGTGCTAGGGAAAGCTGCTCACGCTGGGACCGTGCAGAAGTGACGGGCTTCTTTTGAGGTTAGGCTAAGGAGCAGTTAATAGTCTCGTATTGTTTGCATGATATACACTTCTTCAAACAAAACCCAAGAATGTACTGCTGATTGGTTTAGCAATAGAAATCTGGCTGGTGAAAACCAGGGCTAGACATGGCAGCAAAGGGAAGACTTGGTGGGAGAGCAGGCTTGGCTGGTCTTGTAGTATTTCACAGGTGAACCAGAAACACCTGAGTGATGTCACACATTTCAGACTCTCCCCACCCCGCACACCCTGCCTGCCCTTTGCTATAGACGAATGCAAGTCCCCTGATACTGCACACAACTGCTTGAAGTCCTTCAGAAACAGGACCTGATGCATGACTGCTGACAGGGAGTGAACAAGTTCCACAAGCCTTAGATGTGGCAGGCAATCTGGGCAAAAAGTAACAATCTAGGGGGGAGTGGTGGACTTGTCCCTTTTTGGCTGCTTTCTAATGTGTTAAAGGCCTGTGGGGTGTGTATGTGGGGGGTTGAATCTACTTGGTTTTTTCCCCTTGGAAATTCAAGTTTTACCTACCCTGGTTTCCTGGGAGACTCCAAATGTCTGGAGAACTGGTAGGATTGATATGCCATGCAAGTAAAATTTGGTTGAGGTGGGAATAGATTTTTATTGAAACTGTTGCACAGTTTTATTTGTTAACTCAAAGGCCTAAAAATAGTTAGTTGGGAGAAAAGCTGTTTGTGAAGATTCAGGTCCCACTCTAACATTAGGGCCTGAAAAAGGCTCATACTCTATCCTGAGTCCTCCCGGAAAGATCGAATAGCCATGATAGCATGACGAACAGAGAAAAACAACTTTTAAAAATGCTTTCAGGGCATCTTTATACATCCCAAACCTACGTCTTGTCCTTCGCAGGTTCCCCTTGATAGGAGAGTCCAGAACAGACTAATGGTCTCTCTGATCATTACTGTGTCCACAGGGAGCAGAGAAACCCCAGAGAGCTTTCTTTTCACGTTTAAGTATTGGATGAGATGGGTTTCGGAAAGGGACTGGAGAGCGGAAGGCAGGCCTAGACTGACAGGCTAAGCCACCGCCCTGTGCATTCTTGGTGAGTTAGTTCATCCTATGTTCCCCGCCCCTCTTGCTGCCAGGCTGTGAAGGCACAAACCAACAATCCTGCCCTTCCTGGGCGCAGATTCTGTGTCATGCTGGGGCCTCAAGGATGTTCCAGGTTGAGCTGCCCCCATGCTGTCCTGGGACACAGCCAGAGTGTCTGACACACCCACACCATCCCAGGCTCCAGCAGGATATTAGTCGTCTTGCACCCATCTAGTTACATGATTGAAATCCCAGGCTTTCTGCTTTTCTGAGATGCTTCCTCTGCTAGTGTCCTCACCATGCTGCTGCTTTGGCTTTCCTGTGGTATTTCTTCCCTCGGCGACAACTGCCAGTCTCTGCTCCTTGGTTCTAGCTGTAGCAGGCGACGGCATCCCTGTCCCAGAGACGTGTCTGCTCTGAACCCCGCACGGTCCCCAGTCTCTTCCCTTTTTCTGTGCAGTGGTTCCATTTGTGTGCTCTCTGAGCTGTCGGCAGCATGGTGAATTTCCCGGCTCCACAAAGGGGACTGCCAGTCTCATCCAGGAGTCAGGAAACACCCTGGTGTCCCTCAGCGATGCTTTTGTTGGCTTGGTGCACAATGGCATGGACTCAAATAATGCTCCTGCGTGAATTCACAGAGCAGCAGATGTGTCCCTTGCAATTCCATGGGCAGCCTGACTTCACGCTGGCCCAGTCTGTAGCATTAATGGTACAGCCGGTGCACTAGTGTGGAAATGCTTCACCTTCACTACACACATCCAGGTCAGTTTGGTCACTCTCCTGCACCTATCCAAGGGCGAGTAGACCCCTTCTCTGCCCTTGTGCTCACAATGAGCACTCAAGGATGATAAGGCCATTGCGGAGAAACTAAATGAATTCTTTGCATCAGTCTTCACGGCTGAGGATGTGAGGGAGATTACCAAACCTGAGCCATTCTTTTTAGAATCATAGAATCATAGACTTTAAGGTCAGAAGAGACCATTATGATCATCTAGTCTGACCTCCTGCACAACGCAGGCCACAGAATCTCACCCACCCACTCCTGTATCAAACCTGTGCCTGAGCCATTGAAGTCCTCAAATCATGGTTTAAAGACTTCAAGATGCAGAGAATCTTCCAGCAAGTGACCCATGCCCCACGCTGCAGAGGAAGGTGAAAAACCCCCAGGGCCTCTGCCAATCTGCCCTGGAGGAAAATTCCTTCCCGACCCCAAATATGGCGATCAGCTAAACCCTGAGCATGTGGGAAAGACTCACCAGCCAGACATCCAAGAAAGAATTCTCTGTAGTAATCAGATCCCACCGCATCTAACATGCTAACATTTTTAGGTGACAAATCTGAGGAACTGTCCCAGATTGAGGTTTCATTAGAGGAGGTTTTGGAACAAATTGATCAACTAAACAGGAATAAGTCATGAGGGCCAGATGGTATTCACTCAAGAGTTCTGAAGTAACTCAGATGTGAAATTGTAGAACTAACTGTAGTTGGTAACCTATCATTTAAATCAGCTTCTATACCAAATGACTGAAGGATAGCTAATGTGATGTCAATTTTTAAAAAGGGCTGCTGGGGTCACTTCTGGAATTACAGCCGGTAACCCTGACTTCAGTACCAAGCAAACTGGTTGAAACTATAGTAAAGAACAAAATTACCAGACACACAGATGAACGTAATTTGTTGGAAGAGTCAACATGGCTTTTGTAAAGGGAAATCATGCCTCACTTATCTACTAGAATTCTTTGAGGGGGTCAACAAGCATGCAGACAAAGGAGATCCAGTGGATACAGTGTATTTAGATTTTCAGAAAGCTTTCAACAAGGTCCCTCACCAAAGGCTCTTAAGCAAAGTAAGATGTAATGGGATAAGAGGGAAGGTCCTGGATTAGTAACTAGTTAAAAGATAGAAAACAAAGGGTAGGAATAAATTACCAGTTTTCAGAATGGAGTGTGGTAAATAGTGGTGTCCCCCAGGGGTCTGTACTGGGCCCAGTCTTATTCAACATATTCATAAATGATCTGGAAAAAGGGGTAAACAGTGAGGTGGCAAAATTTGCAGATGTTACAGAACTAGTCAAGATAGTTAAGTCCCAGGCAGAGTATGAAGTGCTACAAAAGGATCTGTCAAAACTAGGTGACTGGGCAACAAAATGGCAGATGAAATTCAATGTTGATAAATTCAAAGTAATGCACATTGGAAAACATAATCCCAACTATACATATAAAAAGATGGGGTCTAAATAAGTTGTTACCACTCAAGACCGAGAGCTTGGAGTCATTGTGGATAGTTCTTGGAAATCATCCACTCAATGTGCAGCAGCAGTCAAAAAAGCAAACAATGTTGGGAATCATTAAGAAAGGGATAGATAAGACAGAAAATATCATTTCCTCTATATAAATCCATGGTACGTCCACATCTTGAATACTGTGTGCAGATGTGGTCGCCCCATCTCAGAAAAGATGTATTGGAATTGGAAAAGGTTCAGAAAAGGACAACAAAAATAATTAGGGGTATGGAACAGCTGCCATATGAGGAGAGATTAATAAGACTGGGACTTTTCAGCTTGGAAAAAAAACAACTAAGCGGGAATATGATAGAGGTCCATAAAATCATGACTGGTGTGGAGAAAGTAGATAAGGAAGTGTTATTTACTCCTACTCATAACACAAGAACGAGGGGTCTCCAAATGAAATTAATAGGCAGCAGGTTTAAAACAAAAGGAAGTATTTTTTCACACAACGCACAGTCAACCTGTGGAACATCTTGCCAGAGGATGTTGTGAAGGCCAAGACTATAACAGGGTTCAAAAAAGAACTAGCTAAATTCCTGGAGGATAGGTCCGTCAATGGCTAATAGCCAGGAGGGGAAGGGATAGTGTCCCTAGCCTCTGTTTGCCAGAAGCTGGGAATGAGTGACAGGGGATGAATCACTTGATGATTACCTGCTCTGTTCATTCCCTCTGGGACACCTGCCATTGGCCACTGTCGGAAGACAGGATACTGGCTAGATGGACCTTTGGTCTGACCCAGTCTGGCCATTCTTATGTTCTTAATGTTGGGACACAGGGTCCAGTGCAGCGGTTGCAGGCTCTGTCTTTGCAGTGGGGGGAAGGCTTGGGGGCATGTTCTCTGAGCTGGCTGGCTGCTCCTGAGGGTCTGTGCTCTGTTTCTGTGCAGGCTGCATGTTGAATGGCCAGGAGGTGAAGCTCACAGTCCATTATGAAAATGGATTCACTCTCTCCAGGGAGGAGGCAGGCTCCAGTCGCACCCTGTTCCTCTACCCCTTTGAGAAGCTTAGAGTGTCTGCAGATGATGGCATCAGGAACCTCTACTTGGATTTTGGTGGCCCTGAGGGGGAGCTGGTGAGAATGGAGCTGGGGATGCGCCATGATGCTGTATTTTGTGGGGTGGGAAGGATTCGGGTTTGTCCATTGCCAAACTACTGTGTGACTTAATTTCGGGTGCTCAAAGCCTGTCTCAGCTGTCTCCCATCCCACCCCCTGTGGCCCTCACCTCCATGAGCTGAACTCTTTCAGGGCCTGAGAGCTGCCCTGGGAAACTCCACTCTCACAAGGCTCGGTACCATTGGGCCCAGGGCCGGCTCCAGGCACCAGCTTAACAAGCAGGTGCTTGGGGCGGCCAAGGGAGAGGGGCGGCACCTGCGGCAATTTGGAGGCGGCAGGTCCCTCACTCCCTCTAGGAGTGAAGGACCTGCCGCTGA